CTCCTGACATAAGAACTAGAGTTGCTGCCTGAATTGCTACTAGCTTTCGTATTCTCCTTGTTACTGCTGGCGGAGCCATATGAGGCACTTCCTGAGCTGCTTCCCGCAGTGTTGCTATTATCTCCAGTTTCTGAGTTAATGACAGTGTCGTCTGTTAAAATGCGAAGCCTGCTTCCTTTTGGATTATTATAGCCTATGTCTGAATAATGAGATCTTGTACCAATATTTCTAGCATATGAATTATATTTTTGACTTTCAGCATATTGTTCTGACTGACTACTCTGTCTTGAATAGCTATTATGGGAATCCAAAAAGATGTCAGCGGTATTGTCAACGTTCCCTCCGGAGTAACTTTGTTGGTACGCTTCATTTTCACTTGTAGAAAAACTCGACGCTTCGCTTTTTGAACTACTGGAGGAATATCCAAATTCTTCCAAATCTTCATAACTCTCACAGACATCGTCAATGGAGTGAACGATATTTTGAGAAGTCTGGAAATAATTACACTTTATAGTGTTAGGAAGAAAATCCGACACCGTGCCGGTGTAGCGCAACATTAGCTTTACTAAAATGTCAACGTTTATGTCCCCTCACTAATCATTCTGACACTTGTACTTGTAATAACGTCTAAAAATAACTACACTTGACGATGCTCGAGACTCCTTCTACGCGAAATTAATAAAAAACTTAATTGGTAGCGTATGTGTTCTTCCAGACTATTTTCTGTTTCTAAGACAAACAGCGAGATCTATTCTACCGTTTTGGAGATACATTTTGACCATCCATCCAAACATTCGCATTTATAATATTAGTATGATAAATGCAATATTTAAAAGAAAATCTTGTTATTTCCACAATTCAGAACTCATGAACGGCTGAACCGATTTGGCTGAAAATTGCTTAAAACCAGTAGACGGACATAGGATGATTTTTTAACCCTTTTCGGTGGGACAAGACATAATTTTTTTTAATACCACTTTAACAGAATTAATTAAACAATTTCATTTTACATTAATTGTAATTAATCAATAAATAAAAAATAACTTAATCATAATTTTAAATACAAGTAATTAAATAAGTTTTAAATTAAATCAAAAATATAAAATGATCCTTAGGTCTAAGGTTGCCAGGTCGCCACAACTGATAGCCGGACAGACCAGCCAGTATGGCCGGACATTTGGTAGAAAGGCCGGACACCCTACATGCAACTTTCAATTGACGCGTCACCTTTATTTTTGGTTGACACGCAATTAAAAAACCTACTAATTTTCGGCTTTATCCGGACGCCTAGCAATGCTACTTGGGACAATAAACAATAATAAACGAATTAATTCTTTATAAATATATTCATCATCATCATCAGCTCACTATACGTCCCCACTGAGGGGCTCGGAGCCTCCTAAGTGAAGGGTGATTAGGCCATAGTCAACCACGCTGGTCCAGTGCGGGTTGGTTGACTTCACACATATCTTTAAATAAATAAATATACAGATAAAATTAATTTTATCTTTTTTAGAGCGTGGCAGCTCAGGAGTCAAGCATTTGACTTGCAATCTGCAGGTCCTGGGTATCCTGCCATGTACCAATATGTCTTTCGAATTCCGATTTACATATGTACATTGATACTATTATTGTGAAGGGTATACGATAAGATGGTATGATAGGTATACGAAAAGAAATTCAAAGATATGTGTGAAGTCAACCCGCACTTCGCCAGCGTTTGACTATGGCCTAATCACCTTTAACTTAGGGTAGACTCCGAGCCCCTCAGTGGGGGCGTATAGGTGATGACGATGAATCTTTTTAAATTAATTTATAACTCACCATTAACAGTAGGACGATGGCTTGCCACATTTTGCAAAAGGTAATTTGCTACTTGGCATAACAGAATTTCTGATTCATTTTATACTAATTATTAACAAAGCTTTTTATCACTTGAGCAAACAATTATTTTTATTTAATTATTGTATTTAAAAACAATAGTTAACCCTTTAACAGTTAACATACGTAAAATTAAACAAACATAATTGTTGCCGACAGATATGGAACCTTTTTGCACGTTTTTTAATCATGATTTTTATATTATAAAATATATATATATATATATATATATATATATATATATATATATTTTACAAGAGTGGTAGAACCCGGTTTAACATCTTCGCACGAATTGGCCAGGTTCGCCCGGTGAAATACCACTACCACACAGAAAACAGGCGTGAAGTGGAAGCAATTCCGCGTTTCGTCTGATGAGTGTGCGTCCCGGAGGCCTAGTTTAGTCCTCTTTCCCTTCCCACCCTTTTCTTCTAAGGAAAGGATGGGAAGTGGAAGTGGACTTTCTGAATGAGAGGATGCACGGAAAGGGCAAATATTATCTTTCTGTGCATCCTCTCCTCCGTCGATTAAAGGTAGGCAACGCATATGCAATTGCGTATGTCTATGGGCAACGGTCACTTCGCTACTTCAGCGATTTCAGATGGCCGCGCGCTCGTTTGCCACCTTATGATATAAAAAAAAATTGGAACTTTATTATATTTTTCTTCCTTTTTCTCTGTATTTTATATCAGTTTTAAATATCTATAACAGTGCGTGCTTATCTCTTCATTTCATAATTCTATATTATATTTTCATTATGTCTTTTTATTTTGTTATATAAATTCCAAAACTCATCTTAATTCAACCGCTCTTCCCATCCTCATATTTTCCGTCGTCTTTAATAATATTTTTTTAATTACACAAGCCTTATTCTGAGACACCGTCCGAGTGGAATAACCTAAATTTAATTTAAAAAACAAAAAGCCTTAATAATTTTTTTGTAAATCGCTTTTTGACCAGTAATTTAGAAATTACCAATAAATATTGTATTGTAGCCTAAAGTATGGAATGACTGTGTGAAAGAGGATATGCGTAAGAAGGGGGTAGACTCGGATATGACGGCTGATAGAGATGTATGGAGGAGTACATGTGCCGACCCTCGATAGGGATAAGGGCAGGTTGATGATGATGTAGCCCAGTCTTTCCCAAAGTGGGCGATAACGCCCCCTTGTGGGCCGCTGCAGGTCTCAAGGGGGGATGTAAGAGACCCAGAAACAAAATGGGGGCGTTGTGTAGAGGCCTGGGGGGTGATTTGTAATTTTATTTAGCTAGTAGGCCGTTAGACAATGACTGCATGAGCTCTCGACTTTCAAGAACTTGTGAACATCAACTAATATGAATTAAAAGCTGTAATATGGGGGCGCTAAAAAATATTTATTTTCAAAGTGGGCAGTTGACAAAATCAGTTTGGGAACCACTGATGTAGCCTAATGGTTAAGGGTACGGATTTTCGATCACGAGGTTGTGGGTTCGAATCCGCGGCATTCGACTATAGTAAAACAATGTCCTAGTACAAGCGTAGTACAAGCGTAGAGCTTAGTTTGGATTGGTACAAGAAATATTACCAAATTTATAAAAAATCTGCTAATATAAAAAAACAGTAAGAATTTGTTAAAAAAAACAAAAACTAGACTGAGACTGTAATAAATTAAATAGTCCTATATCTTATTAACATTATAAATGCGAATGTTTGGATGTATGGATGTTTGTTAGACGTCGGTAGCTCAGGGTTAAAGTACTTGACTTGCAATCCTCCTGGTCCTGCTACATATGTACATTTATCGTATGTTGTTACTGTGAAGGAAAACATCGTGATGCACATATCTGAGAAAGTCAAATGTATGAAGTCTTGCACTGGACCAGCATTCACTATCACATACTCTCACTTAGAGTAGACTCTGACCCTCAGTGTGAACTCATATTTAGCTGATGATAATGTCTGTTAGAAGGTATCTCCAGAACAGCAGGCATAGATGTAGAACATAGTCTGAAAGAACACATAGACTACTAATTATGTTTTTTTTCATTCTACGCGGACGGAGCCGCGTGCGGCAGCTAGTAATACGAAGTCCTTCAACTTTTAAATCATAATAAAAGTCGTAAGGAACAACTGTGTCAATTTATTTTTGTGTCAAAACCTTTTAATAAACATTTAATAAGCCTTTCTTATTGTTTTATTACCAATTTATTGTATTAATTTGCAATAAACAAATAGTCTGGTTCTCTTCTTTTCAATAACAATCATAATTTTACTAATATTATAAATGCGAATGTATGGATGTATGTTTAAGATTTTAACAGTTGTAGAGCCCGCTTTAACATCACACGAATTGTCCCGGCTCGCCCGGTGAAATACCACTACCACACAGAAGACAGGCGTCAAGTGGAAGCAATTCCAAGTACAGTCTGATGAGTGTGCGTCCCGGAGGCCTAATTTAGTCCTCTTTCCCTTCCCACCGTTTTTCTTTATAAGGAAAGGATGGGAAGTGGAAGTGGACTTTCGGGATGAGAGGATGCATGGAAAGGGAAAATATTTTCTTTCTGTGCATCCTCTCCTCCGTCTATTAAAGGTATGCAACGCATATGCAATTGCGTATGTCTATGGGCAACGGTCACTTCGCTATTTCAGCGATTTCAGGTGGCCGCTCGCTCGTTTGCCACCTTATGATATAAAAAAAAAGATATCTCCAGAACGGCTGTATAGATAACATAGTCTAGAAGAATACATAGACTACTATTTTTTTATATTCCGAGCAGACAGAGTCGCGGGTTATAGGTATATTTACAATAAATAAGTTATAACAGTTTATTTTGTAAAAAATAATCTTGTTTTTATAATTAAAAATGTTTATTTTGAAACTAAAAATCTGCGGCACGTGACAGCGCGTTGTGTCGGTTGGTCGCGAGTCGAATGTGACCTTGACCTTTTAAAACTATTAAAATGTAACCTCAAAAGTCAAAGACATACTTTGACTTTAAACATATTTAACAATGAGTTTGCTAAATATTTACAGTTTATTGAACAATTGTTAAACGTAATTTAATTTAAATTAATATTTGTTTATTCAATTACATCTGTTTGTTCAATTGTATCATTTTAAATATAAAAAGGTAAAAATTCTTTTCTTGTCTATCATAACTGTTATAAGACGCATTTAGAAAATATGAAGAAAGTATTTGTTGCGTTTATTTTAATGGTATATCAATAAACTTCATTTCAAACATTTCTAAAGTTTCATCGTTGGTTTTTAAATCTAAAATAAGCGTTTACAACATTTTTATATCTATTTTGTCAAACGTAATTATAGGAACGATATGTTTTATACTAAAGATTTGTTTCGGAAACCGACGATGAGTCAAGCAAGGATATAACTGTTATTTCTTTCAGAAAACATGTAATATATAGAAAAAGGCATAATAAAAACGATAGAACAGCTTTAGTACGACAAGAATTAGATTTTTTTTATATTTAAAACTACTATAAATTAATATAAATGTATGTTAAATATTTCTGTTTATTTTTTCAGACTTTCGTCATAGTTAATTCAAAACCAGGTAAGATATCATCATCAGCTCACTATACGTCCCCACCGAGGGGCTCGGAGCCTACCTTAAGCTAAGGGTGATTAGACCATAGTCAACCACGCTGGCCAAGTGCGGGTTGACTTCACACATATCTTTGAATTTCTTCTCAGATATCTGCAACATCACGATGTTTTCCTTCACCGTAAGAACGTCGGTTAAACGTACATATGAAAATTGGATATCGAAAAACACATTGATTCATGGTGGGATTCGAACCCAGGATCTACAGATTGCAAGTCAAGTGCTTGACCCCTGAGCCACCACAAGATGTACTTCTTACTAATATTATAAACGCGAAAGTTTGGATGTATGTTAGAAGTTTGAAAGTAGCGCTAGTGATCGAGAAATTGAGGAGTAAAAGATTAGCGTGGTTTGGATATGTTATGCGGAAGAATGATGACTACAAAGATAGAGGAAGACCAAAGAAAGCATGTGTTGTGAAAGAGGATATGCGTAAGAAGGGGGTGGATTCAGATATGACGGCTGATAGAGATGTATGGAGGAGTAGTACATACTGTGCCCACCCTCGATAGGGTGAGGGTATGTTGATGATGGATGTTTGTTAGAAGTTGCATGAATTTCGCTGAAATTTGTCATAGATGTCATAAAAACTAGCAGTCGCCCGCGACTCCGTCCGCGTGGATATATAAAAAAAAACTTAATTAGTGTAGCCTATGCGTTCTATCAGACTATGTTCTATACGTATGCCAAATTTAAACGAGATCCGTTCAACTGTTCTAGAGATATCTTCAAACACCCATCCATCCATCCACATCACATCCATCTAAACATTCGCATTTATAATATTAGTAAGTTAAATAAAAAGCAGCTCTTCAAGGCATAATATTCGAAAAAAAAATAACCAAATAGTATCCTATGTCCGTCTCCTGGCTCTAAGCTACCTCTTCACCAATTTTCAGGCATATCTGTAAAGCCGTTCTTGAGTTATAAATAGTGTAACTAACACCACTTTCTTTTATATATATAGATATAATTTCTATCAATTTCATATTTATTAATGATCTTTCAGCTCCTACGGTGTCTGAACTTTTAGGTAAGTAATATTTGCATCTTTCTCACCTTATACCGTTACCCATAGACAACCGCAATTGTAAATACGTAGCCTTTAATCTACAGAGTACGCACTAAAATACAATAATTACCCGTCCTACATGTTCTGCCCTTGATTAAAATACCACCCATTCTTATAAGAAAAGGGTAGTAAGGGAAAGAGCCTGAATGTCTAATTTTATTCCTCTTTCAATTCCTACCCTATTTCTTATAAGGAAAGGACGGGAAGTGGAAGTGGATTTTTCAGATGAGTGGATGCATGGGAATGGAAAATATTATCTTTCTGTGCATCCTCTCCTCCGTCGATTAAAGGTAGGCAACGCATATGCAATTGCGTATGTCTATGGGCAGCCGTCGCTTCTCTGTTTCAGCGATTACGGGTGGCCGATCGCTTGTTTGTCACCTCACCTATTTTTAAAAAAAAGGAAAGTGTATTAAAACGAGTCCTCCGACACACACTCATCAAACTGCAGTTGTAATGAGTAGACTTGAGGCGTGTGTTCTGTGAGGTCGTGTTGTAGCGGACGAGGTACAGACTGCAGTTGTGATGAGTTGTGACTTGAGGCGTGTGTTCTGTGAGGTCGTGTTGCAGCAGACGAGGTACAGACTGCAGTTGTAATGAGTAAACTTGAGGCGTGTGTTCTGTGAGGTCGTGTTGTAGCGGATGAGGCACAGACTACCACTGTTGTCACGTCAAAAATACTATAATTAACTTAATTTAATTTATTACAGCTTTACTTGGCAAAGATTCAAAATGTACGACTACTCCAGCACCGAATTGCGATGACCATACGGAACCTGATAAGCAAGATTCAAATGAAAACAAAGATCCTAAAGATTGTAGCGATTAAAATTAATAATGTACTTTAAAAAACGGCTAAAACCAAACGTATACTCGTCCGGTGGCGGCACCGATTAGTTTCGAGGACCCTTTAGGGGACCCTTTATCAGGGTGAGTGGGACTGGTATTATTTCGTAGCCGCAGCCTGTTGTCTTTCCCACTATGATAAAGGGCCTCCTATAGGCTCGAAACAAATCGGTGCCGACACCGGACAAACATACGTAAATGTTTCAAACACTTTTCTACATAGTTACGAGAAAATAACCCATCAACCTGCCCTTATCCCTACAGAGGATAGGTACATATACTCCTCCATATCTATCAGCCGTCATATCTGAATCCACCTCCTTACGCATATCCTCTTTAAAACAATACTTTCTTTGGTCTTCCTCTACCTTTGTAGCTACATTCAATCACATTACTTTTTTATTTATGTCTTCATCAATATGAATGTTTTAATAAATAAAAAACGCATAATTAATATTTGTATTTTATTTTTTAATCATTATCATCTGCTCACTATCCCCACTGAGGGTGATCTACCCTAAGTGAGACTATGTGATAGTGAATGCTGGTCCAGTGCAAGACTTCACACATTTGACTTTCTCAGATATGTGCAGCATCACGATGTTTTCCTTCATCGTAACGTCGGATAAATATACAAAACCTGGATGATTGTGTTTTTTGGAAATTATATTTAAATACGTATTACTAATAAAATTATGAAATATGAATAATATTTTTCGATCTTACCGATAGAAAAAGTTAAGTTTATGTTTAAGTTGATTATCGATAAAACAAGAATAAAATGACATTTTCTAAAAATGATTCCTAACTAGATCGATTTATCGCCCCCGAAATCCCGTATATACTAAATTTTATGAAAATCGTTGGAGCCGATTCCGAGATTCCAATTATATATATATATATAAAAGCGTCTGTGGCTGAGGTAACACTTGACTTGTAATCTGCAGCTTCTCTGTTCAAATCCCATCACGTACCAATGTGTTTTTAAATATGTACATTAATCGTATATTGCGATGAAGGAAAACATCGTGATGCTGCACATATCTGAGAAAGTCAAATGTGTGAAATCTTGCACTGGGTCAGCATTCACTATCACATAATCTCACTTAGGGTAGAGTCTGAGTGGGGACTAAAAACATGCACGTGAACGAAGTTATGTGCAACGGCTAGTTTTAACATAGCTTGTCTAGATTTAGTTTAATTGTTCACGATTTTTATTTGATATATTTATGTCGTGATTTACGTAATATTTTATTAACTTAAATTCAATATAAATACAGATTTTTGTGTTTTAAAATTACAGACTTAATAGTTGTGTTTGATTTATAATAACTTTATTTATTAAAATAACTATTAAAATGTCGAAAGTAAATTTGATCGTGGCTTCTGTTTTCGTATTGGTGAGTTGATTTTTGTTTTCTGAGACCAAAAATCTCTGTATAAAACATATCGTACCTTTTATCTTTGACAAAACAGATGTAGCAATGTATTTTAGACAGGGATTTTAGTCTCGGAAATTCACGCTTTGTTGTTTTTTATCATAAGGTGGCAAACGAGCGAGCGGTCACCTGAAATTGCTGATATAGCGAAGTGACCGTTGCCCATAGACAAACGCAATTGCATACGTTGCCTACATTTAATCGACGGAGGAGAGGATGCACAGAAAGATAATATTTTCCCTTTCCGTGCAGGATGCATAATTCACGAAGTCCACTTCCAATTCCCATCCTTTCCTTATAAGAAAGAGATTGGGAAGGGAAAGAGGAGTGAATTAGGCATCCGGGACGCACTAATCAGACGAAAAGCGGAATTGCTTCCACTTCACGCCTGTCTAGTTTCTTATCATAAGCCAAAATACATCTTACATCTTATTAATATAAATACGAATGTTTAGATGGATGTTTGTTAAAAAATATCTACAGAACAGCTTCATGGATCTCACTAAATTTGACATAGATGTAGAACATAGTCTAAAAGAACGCATAGACTACTAATAAAGGTTTTTTTAATCTCGCGGTAACGGTGCCGCGGGCTACAGCAACTAAATAAGTGTAAAGTTTGCATCAACAGATGACGCTATATTAAAAACATAACTTAACCAAAGATTTTACTTTTTAATGTCTTTTTAGATGGCCTGCGCAGCCTTCAGCCCAGCGCAAGCTGCTGCATCCCACGGCTCCAAGAAACATGAGACGAGTAAGTTTAAACAAGGACTTAATAAAAATAATACTATTAAACTTACTTCTTACTAACAGTATAAACGCGAATGTTTAGATAGATGTTTGTGTGAAGATATCTCCAGAACAGCTGCATGGATCTTCATGAAATTTGTCATACATATAGAACATAGTTTGGAAGAACACATAGACTACTAATTACTGTTTTCTTTTAATTCTGGCGGACAGAGTCGCGGGCAACCGCTAGTCAATTATAAAAAAAAATTGGATGTCTAATCTATGTTAGTGTGAGTTTCTGAGGCCAAAATCCTCCTTTAAAACATATTTTTATCTCTGTTATGTCAAAGATAATGACAGGGATGACGATATGTTTTATACAGAGATTTTGGTCTTTAAAAACAAACGGCAAAGACAACAAAAAGTGACAGTTCCAATTTCAAAGATGGCGTTCTATCGTTTATTTTAATTATTTTGTTAAAATAAACAGATAAAGTAGTAATATTATAAAATAAGTTGAGTTAATGTTTAAAGTTATTTGAATTAGAGTTATTTTAACATTCCTATTTGTTTCATCTCAGCCGATATCGTAAAGAAACTTGAAGATCTTGCAAAGAAGATTGGTAAGTTAGCTATCAAATCGTTATATCTTACTTCTTACTAATATTATAAATGCAAAAGTTTACGATGCATAGCTGGATGTTTGTTAGAAGGTATCTTTAGAACAGCTACATGAATCTTGATGAAATTTGTCATAAATGTAGAACATAGTCTGGAAGAACACATAGACTAATAATTAGGTTTTTAAACCCAAGAGCTAATTTGTTTTTGAATTACAGAAAAGACTTTGGAAGATGCAGAGGACAAAATTGAGAAAACAGGTAAGTAATTTACTGCAACTTTTACTAAAGAAACAAAACATAAAATAAAGTTAAAGTTAGTATACATCTTTTCAAATATATTGCCAGCTCAAGGACATGCGCGGTGCGCAGGCACCTCGCTAAACCCGGCACCTAACATTGTGTTCGCAGCGACTTTTGCAATGTTCAAACACAAAGAGATTATATTATGTTTTCTATTTTACAGCCAAGAAACTAGCTTCTAAAGCTGCAGGTAATTATTTATTATCATTTTATAAATATTGTAGTAAAAAATACCTAACAATTTTAAAAGTGGCAGACGAAGTGTTGCACTGTGTGCCTCGCTGCAATACCACGACCTCACAGAACACACGCCTCAAGTCACAACTCATTCCAACTGCAGTCTGATGAGTGCATGTGGGAGGACTAATATTAGTCCCTTTTTCTTCCCACCCATTTTCTTAACAGAGGAGGGGACGCATGCGAAAGAGATATATATTTCTGTGGGTTCTGTCGACTAAGGTAGGCAATGCATCTGCAATTGCGGATTTCTATAGGTAGTGGGAGCGTCCGTGGCTCAAAGGTTTCAGCACTTGACTTGTAATCTGCAGGTTCTGTGTTTTTCGATTTACATATGTACATTTAACCGACGTTCTTACGGTGAAGGAAAACATCGTGATGCAACCTGCACATATCTGAGAAGAAATTCAAAGATATGTGTGAAGTCAACCCGCACTAGCCAGCATTTGACTATGGCCTAGTAACCCTTAACTTAGGGTAGGCTCCGAGCCCCTCAGTGGGGACATATAGTGAGCTGATGATGGGTAGTGGCCGCTTGGTCGTTTGCAATTTTATGATATAAAAACACTTTTTTTTAATTAAAATTATATTTGTTTTGTATAGAGGATGCACAAGATGCAATCAAAGAAGTAAGAGCGGCGATCGCAAGTAAGTTTTGAAATTCGAACACATATATTAGTGTAAAATAACATGTTTTATCTATGCAAGTTTGTGTATGTTCCGTTTACGAGAACGTGTTGATAGATTTTGACGGGACTTTGACTGGAAGGTAGCTGACGTACACGAGAATGTTATAGGATACTTATTGCTTAATAATGTGGTGACAAAGTCGCAGACAACGGCTAGTTATAGTCTTCTTTTTAGAAATCAATTCAAACTGGCAACTAAACGCGTTATGTTGTTTTCTTACTAATATTATAAATGCCAATGTTTAGATGTATGTTGGAAGATATCTCTAGAACATCTGCATGGATCTTGATGTAATTTGTCATACATATAGAACATAGTCTGGATGAACACATAGACTAATAATTATGTTTTTTTTATTTCACGCGGACAGCTATCGACATAAAGTTAAACTTCATAATTAAATATAAATTAAATTCATTTCAGGTGCTGGAAAATTGACAGATGAAATTGAAAAAGCACTTAAAGGTACGTGAGAAATAGTTATTTTCATTTTAATTAGAAAGTAACGAAGACCAAGCGAAATATGCATCTTAAGGTTCCTCACGCTTGGTTTGCTACAAACAACCACAAATACGAATGCCAAACACCGATCGCAAACACAAACATCCCAACGTTTGGCAAACTAGGTAGTATATATTATCAAGATCTTCAAACTATCTTACTTATATTATAAATGCGATTGTTAAGATGGATATTTGTTACGGATCTCCAGAACAGCTGTATGTGTCTCGATGAAATTTGTCATACATATAGAACATAGTCTGGAAGAACACATAGGCTTATTAAGTTTTTAATTCCTCGCAGACAGAATCGACAGCTATTTAATTTACTTTGATTGGACAAATAGTGACCAAACAAAAACAGGCAAACAGCCACACGTTCATGTTTGTTGTTTTATTGTTTGCCAAGCGTGGCTTTCTCCGCGCGGAATTAAAATGCAACTTAATAAGTAGCCTATGTGTTCTTCCAGACTATGTTCTACATCTATGACAAATTTCATCAAGATTCATGCAGTTTTTTAACAGTGGTAGAGCCCGCTTTAACATCTTCGCACGAATTGTCCCGGCTCGCCCGGTGAAATACCACAACCACACAGAAGACAGGCGTCAAGTGGAAGCAATTCCGCGTTTCGTCTTATGAGTGTGCGTCCCGGGGGCCTAATTTAGTCCTCTTTCCCTTCTCACCCTTTTTCTTATAAGGAAAGGAAGTGGAAGTGGACTTTCCGAATGAGAGAATGCATGGAAATGTTTTCTTTCTGTGCATCCTCTCCTCCGTCGATTAAAGGTATGCAACGCATGCAATTGCGTATGTCTATGGGCAACGGTCACTTCGCTATTTCAGCGATTTCAGGTGGCCGCTCGCTCGTTTGCCACCTTATGGTATAAAAAAGAGTTGTTTAGGAGATATGTAACTTATGTAATATTTCATTCGACTCTACGTAGATGAAAATGCGAGGAGAGTATTTAATCTTTTTTTTCTTTTTCAGAATTGGAAGAGAAAGTTAAAAAGATTGTCAAGGATATCACTGACAAGGAATAAATTTTAGTTTACAATAACAGTTGTAAAGTATTGAATAAATAATAATAAACATATTAAATATTTAATTTCATATATCCCAATAAAAACTAATTATTTTGTTACCCTACTCACCCTTCGTATTAAGAATGGATGGGAAAAAGAAGTTGATTACACGGAGGTGTTAACACATAGTGTACGAAAGAAAATTCGAAACTGTGTCAGTATGACGCAACACTTCTTCTTGTCAGCCATGAGACGCCCACTGCTGGACATAGGCCTCCCCTAAAGATCGCCCCGATGACCGGTCTTGTGCCACCTGCATCCAGGACGCAACACTAGCCTTATTAAAATGTCGTTTATGTCCCCTGACTACATCTGACAACTTGACTTTGTAACGAAAGTGCGCTTTTGTCAAATGATTCTATCTAATCTTATATATAAAAGTCTCCTGGCTCTAAGCTACCTCCTCACCAATTTTCAGGCATATCTGTAAAGCCGTTCTTGAGTTATAAATAGTGTAACTAACACCACTTTCTTTTATGTTATATATAAAATTGTCGTGTCACAATTTTCGTTCCCATACTCCTCCGAAATGGCCTGACCGATTCTCATGAAATTTTGTGAGCATATTGAATCGGCCAACATCTATTTCTCATCCCCTCATAAATGTTAAGGGTAGTCCACACCTAATTTTTGTTTTATTTTTTAGACAAACACGCGTACGAAGTCGCGGGCGACAGATAGTAATGTCTAAAAATAGGAAGGGGAAACATTCTCTTTCTGTGCGTCCCCTAATCCGTAGATTAAAGGTAGGCAACGCGTCTGCAATTGCGTATGTCTATGGCTAATGGTCGCTTCGCTATTTCGACGAATCTAAGCGTCTGCTTTTTCGTTTGCCACCTAATGATATATGCGTTGCCTACCTTTAATCGACGGAGAAGAGGATGCACAAAAAGAAAATATTTTCCATTCCCATGCATCCTCCGATCCAGAAAGTCAACTTCCACTTCCCATTCTTTCCTTATTAAACAAGGGTGGGAAGGGAAAGAGGACTAAATTAGGCCTCCGGGACGCACACTCATCAGACTGTACGCGGAATTACTTCCACTTGACGCCTGTCTTCTGTATGGTCGTGGTATTTCACTGAGCGAGGACAATTCGTGCGAACATGTTAAAGCGGGCTCTACCACTGTTAACACCGACAATAGTCACCTAGACCACTAAAGAGGTTACGGCATCATATTGACACAGACGTAGCGATTTTTAAGGTACTTGAAATCGATAAGAGCGGTAAAGTAATGCTCCAACCTCCATGACCACAGTGTTATTAAGCCAAGACATAAGAAAAGAATATACCAAGGGTTTGTAGATGTCTTTTTTTTAAATAAAAACAAATTCCAGCTTGATACCTTCACGCGTTTTTGAGAAAAATAGTCTTGACAGAGAGACGGACGAACAACAAAGTGATTCTATAAGGGTTCCGTTTTTTTCCTATGAGGTAAGGAACCCTAAAAATTAGAACGCAACTGCTGCCCTCCAGAGCTTTGATACGAAAGTAGCACATCTCAAACTAACTTTAAATATTATAAATGCGAATGTTTGTTTAAAGGTATCTCCGGACCGGCTCAACAGATCACAGATGTAGAACACAGTCTGGAAGAAAACAGGCTACTTACATTTTTTTAATTTTAGCGAGGTCAATGTCGCGGGCGACAGCTAGTTATAAAATAAAAATAAAATTATTTAAAAAAATACCTTGTTTTTTTATCAACACCAAACGTAGTACTACCAGTAAGAAACACAAATAATAAGAAATTAATCCTACTAATATTATAAATGCGAATGTTTAGATGTATGTTAGAAGGTATCTCCAGAACGGCTGCATGAATCTTGATGAAATTTGTCATACATATAGAACATAGTCTGGAAGAACACATCGCGTGTACAACCAGTAAAAAAATAAACCTAGCATCCAGTGTAAACAACATCTCTTGGACGAATGTACCTCGTCCGCTGCAATACCACGACCACACAGAAGACACGCGTCAAGTGAAAGTCATTCCCGTATTTCATCTGATGAGTGTGTGTGCCGGAGGACTAATTTTAGTCACCTTTCCGTTCCTACGTATTCTCTTATAAGGATGGGAAGGGTAGTAGATTTGACAGAAGAGAGGATATATCCACTATCTGTGTGTCCCCTCCTCCGTGAATTAAATATAGGCAACGCATCTGTAATTGCGTTTGTCTATGGGTAGCGGTCACTTCGCTAGTACGGCAATTTCAGATGCTCGTTTATTGGTTTGCCACATTTTGTGAAAAAAATATTTTCCTAATTAGAAAAATGTGGAAAGGGGGAAGAGAATTATTTCGCAGACTCGTAATGATTCAACGAATTATTGAAAAATGACTACTAAACTATCTTATGCCTTTGACTCCGTCCGCTAGAGAACATGATAACTATACAGGTTATGTGTTCTTCCAGACTATGTTCTACATATATGACAAATTTCATCAAGATCCATGCAGCCGTTCTGGAGATATCTTCTAACAAACATCTAAACATTCACATTTATTATATTACTAGTTGTCTCATGCGACTCTGTATGCGCGAAATTAAAAAATAACTTAATAAGTAGTCTATGTGTTCTTCCAGACTATGTTCTATATGTATGACAAATTTCATCAAGATCCATGCAGCCGTTCTGGAGATATCTTCTAACATACATCTAAACATTCACATTTATAATATTACTAGTTGTCTCACGCGACTCTGTATGCGCGAAATTAAAAAAAAAACTTAATAAGTAGTCTATGTGTTCTTACAGACTATGTTCTATATGTATGACAAATTTCATCAAGATCTGTACAGCTGTTCCGGAGATATCTTCTAACATACATCTAAACATTCGCATTTATAATATTAGTAAGTTTGTTTGCGTTTAATTATTAACTATATTATTTATACGATTCGATAATAAATATAAATATTTAATATATTAATCGTGTAGTTGATATTATTTATGATTAATTTATTACGGTTTTTTCGTATAAATATTGTATATTTTTTGTTAAAATAACTATCCACTGTTGGAATTCACAGTGTGTTCTAATACGTTGCATATTTTGTTACGAAATCAATATGTCGAAAATTAGCTTGTTCACTGGATCAGTTGTTTTATTGGTAAGTACATTTATTTAAATTAATTTAACTACTCAGAGACAGATAATGTATAATAAAATTAGTTGTCACTTGTGATTCCGTGTTTGCGGAATTAAAAACTTAATAGTCTATGTGTTCTTCCAAACTATGTTCTATATCTATGACAAATTTCATCACGATCCATGCAGCCGTTCTGGAGATATCATCTAACAAACATCCATCTAAACATTCGCATTTATATATATAAAAGAAAGTCGTGTTAGTTGCACTATTTATAACTGAAGAACGGCTTTACCGCCTGAAAATTGTTGAGGAGGTAGCTTAGAGCCAGGAGACGGACATAGGATACTATTTATTCATTTTGTTCCAATTTATGTCTTGAAGAGCTGCTTTTTATTTAACTTACTAATATTATAAATGCGAATGTTTACATGGTCTCGATTAAATTTGACATACATATAGAACATAGTCTGAAAGAACACATAGGCTACACTAATTAATCTTTTTTTATATATTAACGCGGACGGAGGCGCGGGCGACAGCTAGTTTATAATATTAGTAAGATTATGTGTTATTACGGACATTATAAGACGCCTGTGTCCATTTGACATAAAGTTAAATATTAATTTTAACCAATAGGTGGCACTGGTAGTCTTCAATCCCGTTGAAGCTGGTCGTCCTCCGCCACAGAAACGCGAACCCCGTAAGTTTCACGACACAACATTATTATTTGAATTATTATATTATGTATTATAAATACATTTTTAATGTAATTTTAATATTAAAAGGAAGCTTAATGAACAAATAAAACAATGATTGATAAAAAAGGAGGGAACAGATAAAAAATTGTGCCATATTAAACATGACCAGTGATATAAAAAAGAAAATCTTTCTGGTTATGTTCATGAACACATTGCAAAGAATGCTTAATCTTTGACATACATGGGCATAGATAAAAAATAAAATTTCTCAAGGTCATCTGATCAGTTCTCACCCAACGCATCATTTTACGTTCCGTTTCACGTAAAATTGTGTTCTACGCATTCGTGTGATATTTTAAACCGCCAAAATATTTGAACTTTTATTATATTTTCAGTTGATGTCAAAAAAAAACTAGAGGAGCTATCCGAAAAGATTGGTAAGTATCTTTTGAAAGATAAAAAAATCACCAAAGATTAAAAAAGACAAACACAACGAGTAATTACTGATTGCTTTATTTTTTCGCTAGTTAATTAAATATATTTTCTTTCTACAGCTAAAATACTCAAGGAGGCCAAAGAGAAGGCAGAGAAGACAGGTAACTCTAAATCTGAACAACTCGAAATGGGTCAAATTTCTCATTCGCATTATTAAACGAAGTTTCGTTTCACGAAATATATAGCAATTTTTTCCTACGACTCTGTCAGCGCAAATAAAAAGAAACTTAATTTTTCTATATGTTCTTCCAGACTATGTTCTACATCTATGATTTCACTGAGATCCATGCAACAGTTCTGGATATAACTACTGACATACATCTAAACATTCGCATTTATAATATTACTAAGATTTTGTTTTATAAATTTAAACCAAAGAGTACGAATGAAAGGAGGTCTAATATTTTTTTTTATTACAGCAAAGGCCATAGCAGCGAAAGCGTCAGGTATGTAAAAGATTAGCTATAGACCAGACATGACATTAAGTATAATATCTTAATTCTAGTAAATTAAAAAAATATAAAACTTATGTACATATGTAACGTTACCAGTAATTTTGTTGTAACCAAAAAATGACAAAAAAATATATTTTATGAATTTATTTTTCCCCCAAACAGAGGAAGTAAAAGAAGCGATAAAGGACGCTAAAGATGCTTTAGCTGGTAAGTTTAGAAAAAAAAGTTAATTAATTTTATTTTATTTAACTTTACTCAATAAATAATATCTTGTTTTCAGCCGCGAGAAAAATTAATGCCAAAGTGGAAGAGGCGTTTGAGAGTACGTATATTTTTTTTATTTAAATTTGATGAATTTAACAGTGGTAGAGCCCGCTTTAATATCTTCGCACGAATCGGCCCGGCTCGCCCGGTGAAATACCACCACCACCACACAGAAGACAGGCGTCAAGTGGAAGCAATTCCGCGTTTCGTCTGATGAGTGTGCGTCCCGGAGGCCAAAATTAGTCCTCTTTCCCTTCCCACCTTTTTCTTATAAGGAAAGGATGGGAAGTGGACTTTCCGGATGAGAGGATACATGGAAAGGGAATATATTTTCTTTCTGTTGATCCTCTCCTCCGTCGATTAAAGGTAGGCAACGCATATGCAATTGCGTATGTTTATGGGCAACGGTCACTTCGCTATTTCAGCGATTTCAGGTGGCAGCTCGCTCGTTTCCTACCTTATGATATAAAAATTTTTAAATCTCTCTTGAAATGAGTAACGGGCGACAGCTAATCTGACTAATATTATACGTATGTTTGGATGGATGGATGTTTGTTTGAAGGTATCTCCAGAAGGACTTTACGAATCTTGTTGTAATTTGTCATACATATTTGTAGAGATAGTTAGAATCCTTTGAGGCAAGCGCGCTTTCGTTACAAAGTCAAATGTCAGATGTGACATAAAAGTGACATTTTAGTAAGACTAGTGTTGTACACCGGTATAGTGTTGGATTTTCTTCCTAAATAAAACATAGTCTGCAAGAACATGCGGAGTATTTTATTGATAAAATTTTAATTTTTTGTTTCAGATTTGGCAAAGAAGATTGAAAAAGCTATCAGCGATATTGCCAAAGGAAATAAGTGAATTGTAATCAACTCTACAAAGATTGATTTTCAATAAAATAATAAGAAGACTTTATTTATTTTTATTATAACCTCAATTAGATACTAGTTTTGATAAAGATGAATGTTTAGATGTATGTTAGAAGATATCTCCAGAACGGCTGGACAGATCTTGATGAAATTAGTCATACATATAGAACATAGTCTGGAAGAACACATAGACTACTTATTCAGTTTTTATATCACATCGACAGAGTCTGGGGCGACAGTTAGTATTATAAATGCGAAAGTTTCGATGGATAAATGGATGGATGTTTGTTAGAAGATATTTACAGAACAGCTTCATGTATCTTGATGATATTTGCCATAGATGTAGAACATAGTCTGGAAGAACAGATAGACTACTATTTTTTTTTTAAACAGCGAGTTATATATATTTTGTAAGCACAAAGTGAAAATTATTTAATTGAACGTATAATTACAAAAAATATTAAAAAATAAATATAGGTTTGCTATTCCTGGCCTATAGACTAAACGAGTCAATTGAACGAATTAGGTATTCTATTCGCCTTATGCTTCTTACGTAGACTTAAAACACATACAGTGAAGAAATTAATGAAATTAATTCTTTAAAAAACTTGTGAAAAATTCAAAAATTAGTTCAAATCTCCTTCGCCATATTTTTTTATAAAATACTAGCGGACCCGACAGACGTTGTCCTCTCGTGACGTTCAAAAATTGAATTGACGTTTAAAATTCGAATATTATTTAAAATTTGACACTGCGATGGTAGCGCCGTCTGTCGGATCCAATGTAAAACATTACAAAATCAACAACTACTAATAAATTAAATATTAATTAAAAAAACATTGTCCAGCGGACAAAATTGTGAATCTAAACCATTCCCAGATCCCCTTGAACACACACAAAAAATTTCATCAAAATCGCTCCAGTCGTTTGAGAGAAGTTCAGTGACATACACACTCACAGAAGAATTATATATTTAAATTTGAAAATTTTTCTCTTAAAATGGAGCCAATAGATGTCGCTATTTAATCTATTTGGGTCTTAGGGCTTAGTTTTAGTGTTAGGTTATTTTCATTATTTTGATTGTTCGAAATAACTAAAATAGACTTACTGTAGGTTTCTGGGACCCTATTTTGTCAAAAATAATGAAAGGAATGACGATAAGTTTTATACAGATACTAGCTGTCGTCAGCGACTCCGTCCGCGTGGATATATAAAAAAACTTAATATATAGATAAGTTAAATAAAAAGCAGCTCTTCAATGCAAACATTCCAAAGGATATCCTATGTCCGTCTCCTGGCTCTAAGCTACCTCCTCAACAATTTTCAGGCATATCGGTAAAGTCATTCTTGAGTTATAAATAGTGTAACTAACACCACTTTCTTTTATATAGATGCGACTCGTAAGGTAATTCGGGAACGGCTACATGTATCTCGTTGGAACTTCGCATAAGAACACATAGACTCCTAATTAAGGTTTTTTTTAATGTCGCGCGATGAAGACGCGGGCGACAGTTAGTAATTTGTAATTAAAGTATTTATCTTGACATGAACTTGAGTTATATCAAATTTTAACGTTAATTCGCACAAATTCCTTAAAAAAGTACAAAGTTTTCGCTCCAAGTATTAATATATATACTAGCGGACCCGACAGACGTTGTCCTGTCTACACGTCTTTAATTCGAATATTATTTAAAATTTGACACTGTGATGGTAGCGCCGTCTGTCGGATCCATTGTAAAACATTCCAAAATCAACAACTAATAATAAATTAAAAATTAATTAAAAAAACATTGTCCAGCTGACAAAATTATGAATCTAAACCATTCCCAGATCCCCTTGAACACACACAAAAAATTTCATCAAAATCGGTCCAGTCGTTTGAGAGAAGTTCAGTGACATACACACGCACAGAAGAATTATATATATAAAGATTAGTTTTTCATATTAACTGTAAGTTAATGAAATTGAAATGTCTGTATGTTATCAAATAAAAACCATATTTCGTGTCAAGTTTTTTTATCTGTCGGCAAGTTTGTGTATGTTCAATGTAATCTCGAGAACGTGTGGAGAGATTTTGAGGGGACTTTGACTGGAAGGTAGCTGATGTATACGAGAATGTTATAGGATTTTTTTCATTAATTTTGTTCTAAGTCGCTGACGACGCTAGTCTCGATATGAAGCAATACCTAGAGGCTTTATTAAATAACATATAACAAGTTATATCCCAAATGGAATATTATTTGTCATTAATTATTAAATATATAAAAAACTGGATGAAATTGTGTTTTTTTGAAATTATATTTAAGTACGAATTACTAATAAAATGATGAAATATGAATAATATTTTTCGATATTTAAAAACGCCATCTGTTGTTGTGTCGTTAAAGCAATTCGTTGCTGACAAAAAATAGTATTATTATTCGCCAATAGATGTCAGGAAGAGTCATATTTTTCAGTTCTTTTTGTCATTTTTCTTTAATTTATTTGTATTGTTTTGTTAATTTTCTAAAAATGATTCCCAGCTAGAT